GAGACATATATTTAATGAAATGATTTAGAAAATATAAAAAGGGGCTGGACATGGTGGTTCACACTTATAATCCTAGCACTTTGGGAAACCAAGGTGGGGAGGATCACCTGAGCCTAAAAGTTCAAGACCAGCCAAAGAAAAATAGCAAGACTCCATTTCATAAAAATAAATATTTAAAAAATTAGCTGGGCATTGTGGCATGCACCTGTAATCCTAGCTATTTAGGTGGCTGGGATAGGAGGAATGCTTGAGCCCCGGAGGTCAAGGCTGCAGTGAGCCATGATGGCACCACTTGCAATCCAGCCTGGGTGGCAGAGAGAACCTGTCTGAAAGAAAACAATAATTAAGAATTAGAAAATCTAAAATAAAAAGATGCAAAATTAGACAATGATTTACTTGAGTATAAAACACATGTGAATAATTGAAATTAAAGCAAATAATGTTGTTGTTTACCACAAAATCATATCACATATTCAAACCTAATATATAGGCTATTTCTTTTTTTTTAATGCATCATGCCAAATTAGCAGATAAAGCACAGGAAATGATCCTTTGATATAGAAAATCAATGCTGAGTCAAAAGTAATCCTCTTTGCTTAAAATTGTGAGAAGCAGTTTGCCCACTCATTTGCTAAGGCAGGGCCCTCTGTTCTCAAATGAAGACCTGTGAAGTCTACATGTAGCTCCACCATGCTTAAATTGTTGATTATGATAGGATGGTTTAGGCTTAGATGGTGATCAAGGACTTACTTCTGTATGCCCTATATACGAGGCATATTTGTTACTATTAAAAATCATTGAATAATGCTACTAAATTGTTTCCTACAAAGTTATATAAAAAGGGCTAACAACCAATCATTTGATGCAATATAGGCTTGTAAAAGAAATTTTAAAAATAAGAATAAAATAGGCAAATGATATGAGGAAAAGGTAAACCAAAAGGAACAGGGATCATGATCTTTATGTCAGATAAGAAAAATTTCATGCCAAAAAGCATTAAATAAAATAAAGGCACTTTGTGTTTTTAATGGATTCAGTTCACAAGAGTTATAAAGATTAAGAATATCTATACGTTAAATTACATAGCAATGCAATTCATAAAACAAAACCTCCAGGAGATACCAGTAAAAACACACACATTAGTTGCAGGAAATGTTAATTCACTTCTGTTGGGCCACATGAAGGTCAAATAATAAGTAAGATTATAGAGAGCTTAAATCTTCCAAAATCTTTTTATGGAATTAGCATAAAATTGATATTAAACCTGACAAACATAAGACCAAATATTGATGCAAAACATTTTAAATAAAATATTAAAAACAAAATTTAGCAGCACATTAAAAAAATCATTTCCCAAGATCCAGTATGACATGTTCCAGGAAAGCAAAGTTAACTAATATTGGGAAATTTGTTTCTGTAATTTATCATATTGATAGATCTAAGGGCAAAAATATTTGACATATCTATAGATGCTTAAAAAGGCATTTAATGAAATTCACATTTTATTCTTTATTTAAAAATAAACTCGATAAAATAACAATAGATTGACACCTCTTTAATATTGTAAATTATAATAGCATAAAATCTCTCACCCAAAAAGCCAGCATAATGCTTACTAGAGAAATGGAATCAAATATATAAATTTTAAATATAGAAAGTGATGCATTCTATATGATTTAAAACATTTACTGTATTTTTTTTGTTTTTGACCATAAAATTTTATGCCAAAAATCAATAACCAAAACTAGGAACTAAGCTAGCATTCTTGTTCTAATCACTTTAATGTGAAATAACATGGAATATTTTCGCCAACATAATAAGCCATGGAATACATAAAACATATAGATCTCAGAAAGGCTGCATAAAACACAAAAATCTTCTTAGAAAACCCAAGATAATGAATTGAAAATTTATTGTAATTAAGTATAGTTGAGCTATATAGCTAGTTACAAAATAAATACAAAAAGCAAGGTGTTGTGGCTCTTACCTTAATCTCAGCACTTTGGGAGGACGAGGCGAGGGGATCATGAGGTGAGGGGATCTAGGCAATCCTGGCTAACATGGAGAAAACCCGTCTCTACTAAAAATGCAAAAAATTAGCCAGGTGTGGTGGCACACACCAGTAGTCCCAGCTACTCAGGAGGCTAAGGCAGGAGAATCACTTGAACCCGGGAGGCAGAGGTTGCAGTGAGCTGAAATCTAACCACTGCACTCCAGCCTTGGTGACAGAGCGAGACTCCATCTAAAAAAAAAAAAAAAAGAGAGACAGAAAAAAAAGCAATAGTTTCATTTAATCAGCAATAAGCTAATTAAAAGTTCTAATGAGAGGAAAAAAACAAGTATTTTGTTAACAACAACAACAAAAAGACATAAAATATACTAGGAAACACAGTTAAAAATTTGTGAAGCTCAATAACAAAGACATGGTGTCAAACTAAATGCCCATCAATGGTACACTGGATAAAGAAAATGTGGTATATATACAGCATGGAATATTATGCAGCCATAAAAAAGAAAGAGATCATGTTCTTCAGAGGAACATGGATAGAGTTGGAGGCCATTATCCTTAGCAAATTAATACAGGAACAGAAAAACAAATACTGCATGTTGTCATTTATTAGTGGGAGCTAAATGATAAGAACACATGGACACATAGAGGGTAACAACACACACTGGGGCCTATCAGAGGATAGATGGTGAGAGAAAGGAGAGGATCAGAAAAAAATAACTAATGGGTACTAGCCATAATACTTGGGTGACAAAATAATCTGTACAGCAAACTCCCATGACATGAATTTACCTAAATTACAAACTTGCAAATACCCCTGAACTTAAAATAAAATGGGTGGGGGAGTGGGGACGGATAACATTAGGAGAAATACCTAAAGTAGATGACAGGCGATGGATTCAGCAAACCACCATGGCATGTGTATACCTATGTAACAAACCTGCACAATCTGCACATGTACCCAGAACTTAAAGAATAATTTTAAAAATCTGAAGCTTACATAGGGAAAGTTGCAAAATTAGTATTGTAAAAAAATTGAGAAATGGCCCAGATAGAAAAGACAGCCCTGAGATAGATTCTGATATATTTAAAACAATTACTAGAAAATGAATTATTCTCTAAGTGGTAGTAGGAAGATTAGGTTAGCTATTTAGAAGAAAATGTAAGTCTTTACTTATTTCCATAAATACCAGATAGATTTAATAGCTAAGCAAATGGTTAAAGATGAATTTCTAAAGTAATAAATGTTGAATGTTTTGTGAAGTTCTTTTTAATCTGGAAAAAAAATAGAGATGATGTTTTGTTAAACTTTGAATAAGGAAAACTTGAAATTAAACAAAAATCTGTTACAGTAATCACACAGAAAGAAAGGAGACTGCGTGAATGATATCTGCATGTGCTTAGAATGCCTCTGTAAAATACACAGGGAATTGCTGAGCCTATCTCCCACTGAGGAAGGGGATTGTGGATGAGGGACAAGACTGGGAGGGAGATTAACTTTTCACTTTAAACCTTTCTTTGCATCTTTTGAATTTTTGTTCCGTGTTCATGTATTACCTTTAAAAATAATGTAAACATCTTAAGTTTCCAGTTTAGAAAAGGAAAAATAATGAGGCCCACCAAAATTGACAAATTTAGTTACTTAAAATCTTAGGATGTCATTGAATAGCAGCAAAACAAAACAAAACAAAAATCCTAAAAATAATGAAACATGGAGACATATTTGCAGCCAAATGTCAAATGTTGACTTAATATCCTTAATAGAAAAATATATTGTACCAAAGAAGGACCAAAAAAAAAAAATATGAGGTCAACTAAAGAAAAATATACATAAGATACAGTGGGTAGTTCCGAAAGGAGGAAGTACAAACAGCCAATAAACACAGAACCATTCAACTCCACTTTTGGGCAAGAAAATTCCTAAGCAAAACATCGATAAGATATTGTTTTTCACTAGTGAAATTAGAAATATTATAAATACTCTGTTTTTGCAAGTGTGCATTGAGGAGATCATGCTATTACCCAGCTGGAGGGAGTTCAAGTTTGTAAAACGTTTCTGAAACATAGTTCAGCAGTAATTATTTTGAGTCTTTAAAATGTTCCTGTCCTTTGTCTTGGAAATGTTTACTTCTGGAGGCTCTAGGATATAAATAATTTGCAATGCAGAGAGAGCTGCATACACAAGATGTTTACTGCCCCATTAGTTATAGCAACAACAACAACAAAAATTGTTAGAGCTGGAGTTTGCAGTAGTGCCAAAAAACCCCATCACTTCCCATCTCTAATCTCACATGATGATGTCAGGCTCTAAATACTTTGCTGCTCTATCATGTTTTCAGTTTTGTGAGTCCACCATGTGAAGCTCACAGTCAGACCAATTTTCCAAATTAATGCAATGAGCCTCTTTTTCACATTTAGATGTTTTGGAGGTCCCATTATTTGTCAGTAAAGATGGTCAGGTATTTGAAGGAGAATTAAAATGGGAATGGAGGAAAACCTGATTGGGGAAAGCTAAAATGGGTTTTGTAGTTTTTTGAGTTGAAAAGGGAGAGATGAAATGATGTGTTACATTATGTCCAGAGAGAGGGAGAAAACTAATAAGGGAAAATTGAGGGGTAATTTGAAACATTTCACAAAAGTTGCTGAAATGTCAGAGTAAAAAGTAACCCCTGCCCGGTAATGAACTTAGAAACTGAAATAGTCTGAAGATTAAACCTACTTGCAAGTGAATAGTTAAGCTCCTATGGACTCTCAGGGATCCCTGTCTAGGTGATAGTAGAACCTACTCCATTTTAGCATGTTTGCATATCTGCCTCTTCCACAAGATTAGGATCTCCAAGGAAGAAAGCCTTTATTGTATTAGGCTTTACACCCTCACCCCTTAGCACACAGCCTGGTGCACCCATTTTCTAAATGACTGAGTTAGTATTTTGTCCTTTGAAGGATAACTTTCTAGAGTATTATTTAACATGAAGATTTTCTTTCCAAACAGGATTACCAAACCAATAACAATGACCAGGCAGTAGTTGAAATCTGTATCACGAGAATCACAACAGCCATCAGAGAGACTGAGTCCATTGAAAAGCATGCAAAGGCCCTTGTGGGGCTCTGGGACTCCTGCTTGGAACATAACCTGAGACCCTTTGGGAAAGATGAAGATACTCCTCATGCAAAAATCGCATCTGATATCATGAGTTGCATTTTACAGGTATGTCAGTGTTCAACATCAGGCTATTTGATACTAAGTTGGCAGCCTAGGTGAACCTGTGATGTCTCTGAACCAAGAGCCAATGCTTCTGTAGCATTTAGATACTGTAAAAAGACACCACAAGCCATCAATAGCTGTGCTGGGAGGGCTGGTAATTAATAAACTGAGAAAGTTCTATAGAGCTCCTGCTACATGCAAGACACGCGGCAGGGAATTCAAGTAATACCACTGGAAGCCTCTAATCTGGAGAGCATACATTTAAAAAGTTAACAATAAAGCAATATGTGCCAAGACCCACAGGAGGAGTACTAGAAAATTCAGAAGAGGAGATCTCTTTCATCCAGGGAGAACACAGTGGAAGCAAAAATGAACTGAGGGGCAGTGATCTAGGGATACAGCAGGGAAAGTAAGTCATTTCAAACATTTCTATATGTATTGAGAATTTTTCATGATGATATTTGCCTGTTCTGACCACAGTTAATTCTTTCCTCTGGTGTAAATGTGAATTTGGAGTTTTGGCTCAGCCACTAACGAGTTGTGTAACACTGATATCTTGGGCAGGTTCTCTTAACTTCTTAAGCCATGGGGTTCTCCCTGTAAAGCACAGGCTAAATGACACTGTCCATGACAAATTTACCAACCAGTGATGTTGATAGCTGTTTCTCAAAAAAAGAATTTTATGATCAAATAAGCTGGGAAACAATTCAATTTTTCCCCTTTGAGTGATCACATTGGCATATTAAAGTTTCTGTAAAGTCCTACAAAAAAGAAAGCTGGCTAACTTTGTTTAGGCCAGCATTTTCCAATCTGATTTCACCATGGAACCTCCTTTCTCCTCCCCACTCCCAACACAACACTTTTGAACATCTCTCAGAACCTGTGTTCCACTGAGCACAGGTCAGGAAAATCTGGTTCTGTTAAAATGCTTAGCAGTGCATGTGGCAGCTGATATTAGCATCCTTTATTCTTCTTCCTTTTTTCTCCACAGTTGTTTATGATTAACTGGATCATATTTTACCTTGTCTGATCAGTCTAAGAATCAGTCGACTGAACAAAAGACTCCTCCTGCACCGCCACACTGTGTCTCCTTCATCCCCAGGGTCTAGGATGGGTGGGGAGAAAATGGGGATTGCAGCAAAATTAACAAAAGATGAATAGTGCTTGATGGAACAACAAAGACTCAGTGCATTTGCTCTTCATTGGTTATCTTGGTATATTATTGATATTTATCAGAAACATAGATTATTTCACCCCAATGTGCACCTTAACAAACATTCAAACAATTTAAGCATCCTATCCCACTCCCCTTACAGGTTCAGAACCATTGGCCTAGACTTTAGGACAGTGCTATCCAATAGAAATCTAATGTAAGCCACAAACAGGAGCCAAATAGGTAATTTTAAATGTTCTTGGCCTGGGATGAGTAGGGGAACAGTAGTGAAGAGGGAGAAAAAGAATATGAATATATTTATTACTACTAAATTATACATTTAAAAATTGTAAAGATGGTATATTATATATGTATATTTGATCTCAATTTAAAAAATTAAAAAGGAAAACATTCTATGAGCCACTTAAGTAAAAAGAAAGGTGAAATTGATTTTAATAATATATTTCCTCAACCCATTATATTCAAAATAGTATCATTTCAACATACAATCAATATAACAATTTTTTTTTTGAGATGGAGTCTTTACTCTATCACCCAGGCTGGAGTGCAGTTGTGCAATCTTGGCTCACTGCAACCTCCACCTCCTGGGTTCAAGCTATTCTCCTGCCTCAGCCTCCGAAGTAGCTGGGACTGCAGGTGCCCACCACAACGCCCAGCTAATTTTTATATTTTTAGTAGAGACAGGGTTTTACCATATTGGCCAGGCTGGTCTTGAACTCCTGACCTTGTGATTTGTCATTTTTTTAAACAATTCTTACCTATCTGATGTGCATTTTAGTGCATTACTAAATGAACTAGTCACACTTCAGATGCTCAGGAGCATCCCATGGTCAGTAGCACCTGTGTTGACACAGTTCTAGAGTAATCAGAGCAAGTTTTCTGGGTGAAGTTCATGTTTGGAAGGGTTATGAGCAGTGAGCAGGAATTTCACTAGATAGGCAAAGTAGAGCCAGAAGACATTCTATGCAGAAAAACAGCTTGTGCAAAAGTACAGATTTGTGAAATAAGACCCAGATCAGAGAATTATAAGCATGCTACCTTTCCAAAATGTCCAGAATTCTAACATTTATGTTAGATGGGATGTTTTATTCTGAGTAAAGTATTATGTCTCCTACTTAAAAGGGATGGGGTATGACATAGGGAATTAAATGCTTTTGAGAAATTGAAATGCTAAACTCACTGATGATCAAGACTTAATGTAAAAGAGTTTGTAAGATTGTTGAGAGCATGGTTCGGAGGTCAAGGGCTGATATTTTGGGAAGTGACAGAGAAAAGGCCTGAAGGCTAGTAGGCTCCTTGGTTAAGAGGGACAAGTCAGGCAGAGAAATGTGTAAGTCCAACATATAGGGCCGGTATAGGCATGGGGTGTCTATTGCAGGCCCTCAGAAGGAGGCAAAATCCACTAAAATGGAAAGCAGAAAGGCCTAAAGGCAAAGTTGCTTTCAGCAAAGTTCAGCATCTTATCTTGGCTACCCCCGGGAGTCCCAGAAAGTCAGCCCCAGGAACCAAAGGCAAAGCTGTGGTCATAGCATTTATATTTAGCTTTCATCAAATTTTAAAGGGAAGTTTTTGGCTTCCAGTAAACATTGAAGGGATGATTTCGTATTACTTGTAATTTAGGTTCCTGTGGGGAATGTGTAGAAATCCAAATGACTCATTTTGTTCTATTTTTTCAGTGCAATGAAACAATAGACTAACTTTCAAAAGTTAGGCACTCAGCATTTTTAGCTTTACACAAAATGAAGGAAATCAAACAAACAAAAAATGAGTGATTCCTTTTCCACCCATCCCATCTCCCCATATAAGGAACCCAGGGTCTTACTTTCTGATCAAGCAGAGGCCCAGTCATTTTTTTCTTCTCTAACCCTTGGCTATTTCATTTGGTTTCTTTTTTTCTGGCCACTTCACTGTCATTTTAAGCTAAATGTGAATGTGTACACACACACACACACACACACACACACACACACACACACACACACACACACTTTTCTTTTTGTCCCCCAGATTTCCTCTTGTCAGCCTATACGCAAACCTACTTCAGGTGACTATTCCTTTTTTAGTTGTTAATTATACCTCTTTCCTTGGTCCCTAAATTTATGAACTTGCCACATTTACCTTAAAATAACCATTAAAATTCCAGAACTCACCTTTGACTCTTTCCTCAATACAAAATCAGTACATATATGGGGCATGCACTTGTGAGTTTGTTTCTGGCCTTGGGCCATATGTTTCTATACATCCTGTGTCCTTAAACAAGTCTCTTAACTTATGTTTAAAACAGAGAATTGAACCAGAGCACCTTCCATGTCATCTCCCAGTCTGAAATTTTGACTCCCTAAGGAGACTCTAAGAGTAGAATAGCAAAGAGCTTTAGAGCTTGAAAGTTTCCATGTCATTTGGCTCTTGGTCTTATTAACATGAAAGACTGGCAGGATATTTTCTCTCTCTAAATCTCTGTTTTGCCATCTCTAAAACTGGCATAACAATACCTCCTGATCAGAACTGTTATGGAGGTTAAAATGATATTGCATATATAGTGTTTACATAGTACAATTGCTACATAGTAAGTGTCCAATAGAAGTAGTGCTTTGTAGCTAGCAAATTAATCCAGCCTTGCAGGACAATGAAAATGAGCATTCAGCGGGTTCCATTCAGGACATCAAACTGTGGGAGTTGAGTACTTCTACTTTGTGGTGGTAGGTGCACAGGAAGAGGATCTTGTATTTCAAAAGCAATCTCTATCTGTGCTCTAGCCACTATACGGAAGTACCTAATTCAAAGTACAGCTTACTTAGAGTTAACAGCTTTCTCTGACCCTCTGACCAGATATCTATATGGAGTTGCCCATTGCCCACCCCCTTTTTATTTGCTCCTAGAAAAATCCTGAAAAAGAATATACCCATACAATGTGTATTACATTCTAGGAAAAAACAAACTTGGCAAACTTGATTAAAATTAAAATGCACCTCAAGGACATTACCATTGTTGACATGGCAGCTGTTCTACAATGAAATTCTAGAGAATTGGTAGATGAGCCATCTCGAAGCCTGGCAGCCAATGCTTGGCTTTATCCTCACTCTGCTGCAGTCACAGCCTCTTCCCCAACCAAATCATTTAGTAGAGACCTTGTCATGTATTTAATCAGTTCCACATTTCATCTTCCCTCATCTCTGCTACCACTGTTGATGACTCCATAAAGACGGAAATAACCAAAGCAGGATGCCTGCAGGGTAAGAGGGGGAATAGGAATAATCCCCAGATGTGCGGCTGGGAAATCAGAAAGTGCCTGTTTTTCCCTCTTTATAGAAGGAACCACTGTTCCTTCTCCTTGATGCCACACATTCCTCTCAGTTCTTCTTCCCCAGTCAATGCAATATAAAGATTTAACCTCTGCTCTTGCTAGTGTTGCATGTGAAGTGCCTCAGACAGTGGAAAGCATTTCCTTCACAACTCTCAGAGATGGGACTGGTTTTGCCAATCGAGCAGTTTATTCAGTAGGCAATCCCAGCTCCACCGTGTGCCTGTAGTGTGGTCTTGGGAAAATTAATCTTTCTGGGCCTTAATGGCCTTATATGTAAAGTACAGATATTAAGAAGAGCTGCCTCATGAGTTTGCTATGAAAATTAAATGAATAGACATTAAATGATAGACAAAATATTTAGAACATAGGAAGTGCTGCATGAATATTAACTCTGATTGATATCATCATCATTATCATTATCTGCAGGAGACTAAAATAACCCTCAATGCTTTCTTACAAGCTATTGATTTAATTATGTGTTATAGCCATGTTTTAAATATCCTGTCTCTCCTCTCCCCAAATTATAAGCTCTTTTATTCACTGAAGTAATTCCAGCACATAGAATAGTGCTTAGCATATAGTAGGTGCTCAAATAATGTTTGTTGAATGGTCGAGTGAATGGGCTCAGTAGACATGGCTACCTCCTGGCTTCCATAGCAGCTACACTTCTCTCCAGAGTAGGCTTCAGTACCTAATGCTCAGAGAGCGGCATGAAATGGGAGGAGACGGGGATGTACACTCCCAGGGTCCTTACACTCCAAACGTAGGCTTGTGTGCCAATTAGATTTTACATATAGCTATGCTGGGAAGAATGAACCATTTTATATGTAAATCCAAAATTGGTTTAACTTTGATTGATAATGCTGAATGAATAATCAAGGAACCTTATTTTAATAAGTGAGGTTTAATGTTTCTTGAGCTTAATCATTTTTACGGTTCTTACTTGAATTCAAGGCCTGAGAGCCAAAGAGCTTGTTAGTTCCTATCACCTCAGATAGATATCTTTTCTACTTAGCTTTGTTCTTTTCCTTTTTAAAAACACTGGGAAACATTCCCAAAGTGCATTTTCAAAAGGCCAATTTCAACCAAAAGCTCAAATTGGTGCTAATCGAGTTTAGAAATATAATTCTTGGCATCCATAGAACAAAGCCCTCTTGTTTAACCTCTACAGCTAGATATAATTGTCCCCACGAGAAAGTCTGTTTCTATGCTGCACTTCATTGAATCTGTTCCCTCAGCACCAAACTGTAAGATGATATTCATACCAACATGCTCACATCTGCACTGAGAAGCAAGGTCTGTCATAGGCTCTGGCATTATCCGCTGCTGCTAAAGTCATTTATTTGTAAAACTGTAATCATAGGGCTTTCTCTGCATACATGCCATTAGCATTTCTGTGACCCAAATAATTATAGAGATGAAGTAATTTCATGGGCTTGAGATCTACTGCACTACCAACTCCTTTTGTTGCCTTTGAAAGTGAAGTTCAGCCACTGGATGTTTTTTTGTACCTGTTAGGTCCATGGGATCCTTGTTTGTCCAGCCTCATCTTGGCCTCCCAGCCCTTTGCCCTTCACTTTTTGATATACCAGGAAAAGTCTAGACACTGTCTGGAGATTTTCTAGCAGTTTCTTGGTGTTTGTATGAACTATTTGCTTGTTTCACTTTTTGTCATTTGGAAGATTTCTGGGTGCCGTGGTAGGAAAAAAAAAGTGAGTGTTAATTAAAAACAAAAAAGACATATATTTTGGGGGATATTTTATACCCTTTACTTGGAACCACACTTCAGAGACTTGAATGGCTGGCCACTAAATTTCTCTAGAACGTCTAGAATTTTAAAAAAGAATATGATCAAATTGCTTAAGATAGTCTGTTTTTCACGATTACTGTTAAGTGCTAGCTTACCCCAAGGTTTACAAACATCAGTTACTGGGGATACTGATTTTCACTGATCTTTCACTGTGGCTATGTTCACAGAAAGTAAGAAACACTTCCCAGTTAATGCACTCAAAAAAAAAAAAAAAAAAGGTGTCTCAGCAAGTTATAAGTACATGTGTTTGAAGACATATTGCTCTGATGGAAGCTACGTATCTCTCTACCTGAAAGTTGTTCTTGATGAAAGACCCAGAGTATATAAGTAAATTTAGGTATGGAGTTCTTGGGTGGAAAGTTCTGAGAATAATTCTGCCATTGTGTTTCACCCTCAAAGCTTGGACAAGGATGATAGGGACAGGATGTGCTATCTAAAAGTTGAACTAGCAAAAGCCTACATACAAGGAAGAGATTGGCTGCCTATAGGAGCAACCCAAGAAATTGCATAGGTGAGACTGAGATGTTTGGGGAAGACCCAATGTTCTAATAAGCAATTTTTTAAAATGTAAGTCAAGGGAGCAGGGATAGAATATGATTATAATTGAGAAAAATGACCAAATCAATTAGATTTTCTAAACATCACGTTTGATCAGTATGTTAACAAAAAGAGGATGCTCAATATCATGTCATTATTCTGGCATGTTTGTCCAGCACCACTAGGAAAAATTCTGAATCTGATGAATGGAAACTTCCAGTGACCAGAGAAAGGTATTCAGTTATAGGGCAGGAGTGTTCTTTCAATCAGGTTTCACATGGCCTAGATGAAATATCCCTCAGGCTCTCTCTCTGCTGTGATCTGATTTTGTGCCCATGAGTGAACATTCTAGTTTCTAATCTAGTTCCTGGGTATCCTGAAAATGTGAAAGGGATACCTACCCTAGGTCTGACCTATAAAAACCTCTCACTGGGGATGAGTACACTGGCATGCCTGTTTATGTACCAGCCTTTTGGAAATTCTTTGGTATGTTAGCCTTAGTGGATCCAAACAATTTTGTGTGTTCCAACCAAGCAAATGCCCTGACTTCTAAACCTGAGGACTAACTCCTGGGGAAGGGAGCAACTGGCCCCTCGGAGAGGTATCCAAACTATCAGTAATGGCTCAGTGAGATCTTTGCCTACTCTTAGGCCATGGAGATGTTCTCCTGTGTTGTCTTCTCTGTCTTGTTTTATTTTTCACTTTTAGATCTGCAATCTATCTGGAATTAATTTTTGTTATGGCAGATACGGGTAGAGATACATTTTTCTCTCATGTAAATATTTATTTTATCCATTTGCTCAGGAATTGTATGTATCAATGACAATTTTTATCTCATGTCCTTTCTTTTGTCCTTATTGTAGGATTTGATATATAAAGGTGGAATTCTACATTTCATTCTAAGAATATAATTTTCTCTTCAGCCACAGGGGAAAGTTAAATAATGAAAGTGGTCCTGGCTTTGCATTGTATTAATCAGGATACAAGCTCAGCTGCAATATCAAAGATCTAAATATAACAGTGGGTTGAGCAACACAGAACTTTGTCTCTCATCAAATAATGCAAGAGTAGGAGTCTTTTGCAATACCATTTGCTGGCATTATGGTATCACAAGTCCAGGATCCTTCTATTTTCTCTATATTATTCAACATGTGGCAACCATATTCTCATTCCAACCAGCATTAAAGAAAAAAAAATAGGAAGCTAAGTCACTTCAGGATTATAGCAACCTAGAGGTTGAACACCTTACTGCCATTTCTATCCCATTGGTCAGAACTTTGAACATGGTCACATCCAGCTGCAAAGAAGGCTGAGAAATGCAGTTTTTCATCATGTGATCCTATGCCAGCTGAAGTTCAGGAATGTATTACTAAAATAAAAGAAGGTGAATAATTACTGGTGGGGACAGTTAGTAATTTCTAGCAGTAGTGTTAATACTCTTGACTGCGATCATAGATATGTTCTCAGTCTTCTCAGTCTGATGCAGGCAAACCTAGATATTGATTACCTAAATGTAGATCTCTCTTTGGGTGGTAATCCTTACTTGAGCGTCTTTAATAGGTAAGTGATCCCTCAGTAGCCTAGAAGGTCTTCCTATGTCAGGCAGTTGATATCATGTCTGCTTTAGAATCCTTTTATCAGAGACCATTTGATTGGAAGAGATTATGATAATCACTCTTATGAGTAAGACCTAGAGAGCTGGATGACACCTTCATGATCACCCTGAAAGATGGTAGCAGAGCTGAAATTAGAATACACGGTCTTCTTGTTCCATCAGATGCCCTGCCCACCACATTATTTTCCCAGTGGCAACTATCACAATAGACTTACATTTTCTTTGTTAGTCACTCAATTTGAAGATATTGAGTACTCACCATAAGCCCATAATTGTAGGAGGTGCTAGAGGGCATAATCCATAAGTGGAAAGATAAGCACTTTTCACATGAACAGTTTGAGAAAAAAAAAAACACTTTTTATTTATAATATAATATGAACTCCACTCCCAAACACACTGTGCACTGCACAGTTTTTTTTCCTACAGTTAGTCTGAGAGGTGGGGTTGACAGCCAGGGGTAGTGAATATGTACCATTCATTTTTAAGAAAACAATTTGTTGACCAAAATGTTATGTGGTGGGAAAAAAAAGAAAACAATTTATATTTTCTAAATATTATTCCCTAATTAGGTAATTAAATGCTAATAAGACTATTTTATATGTAAGTACATTTATATTCAGTCATACCAAGAGGAGAATTCTTTTAGGATCCAGAATATCTTTAGATTTTAATCTTACATTCATTTATTTTTTCCCTCTGAATCTAATTAGTTGAAACCTTAGTTTTGAAGATAGATATAGTCGAAAAGTGACTTGTTCAACATTCCTTAGGTGTTTATCTCAAGTGTAAATATGACAAGTGATTCCTTTCATCAGTGACCCCTAATTACCATAAAGATCAATTCCAAACTCCTTAGCCTGGTATGCCATATGCTGGACCTTTCATAATCATGTTCTGTTTATGTTTACCTGTCCCGTCTCTCGCCTCACCTCCCACTCCAGCTTCCTCACACATATCACACTCCAGCCATCCTGAGCTACTGACAACTCCCCAGTGCCATCAGGTGCTCCCCCACCTCGGTCTCTGCACACCTGCTCTTCCTTCTTTCTGCCTACTCCCTGCCTTGCCAGCACTCAGCCGTATCTTGTTCATCCATGAGGTCCCAACTAAGACATTACCTCCTCCAGGAAGTCTTTCTTGACATTCCTGAAGACTAGATTGAGTGCTCCTTCTCTGCTATTTTAGTACCCTGCCTTTTGCCCATTTTGGCTGTCATCAGTTTCTGCTGTTAACTGCCTGTTTGTGTTTAGGTCTCTTAAACAAAATCAAAAGTTCCCAGAGTTCCCAAATACAATATAAACAGGGCAGGGCCTGTGTTTTCATAGCTGTGCTCTGGGAGCTTAATCCAATAAATATTTTTTGAATGAATGAATGAATGAATAAATGAACAATGAGTTGTTTATTATTTATGGCTTTCTTATATTTCCTCAGAATTACAACAGACCCTCCGTGATGGCATTAGCCATCCCCATTGCAGTGAAATTCCTCCACAGAGGCAACAAAGAACTGTGCAGGAATATGTCTAACTACCTGTCTCTGGCCGCAATTACCAAGGCAGATCTTCTGGCTGATCACACAGAAGTTATAGTAAAGAGCATACTCCAAGGTATGGTGCAAAGGTTGAGCTTGGGAACATGTTTTAGGAGGCATTTAAAAGTACTTTCATGAAGCATTTATAGTTAATGGGAAGCAAGACCTAGAGTATTAGAAGCAAGTTAATTTCTCTGCTTTGCTGTTAGTTGACTTGGAAACATGCAAAAGGTTACTTAATCTGGCTGAGTCTGTGTCCCTTCCCAAGGCGGATGAATTACTTAGACTCATTAAAAGAATTTTAAGCTTTCTTCCAAATCTGTCTTTCTCAATTTGAAGAACTGTATTTTCTATACTTCTGGTCACCTGTTCAACTACCAACTGTGGAGAGCTTATCTCTATGTATTGAGTGAAAAATGTCACTCAGTTGGAGATGATAAACCTCTCTTCACTTGGTTCCAAAAGCAAGAAATGTCTTTTGTTAGATAAAATACTTCAGAAAATATGCAATAACTTCTTAAATGTGAATGTGATTTGGGAATGATAACAAACATAAAAAGTCAAGTAGCACACCTCTGTTAATTGTTATAACATTTTAATGAAAGAGGTGCTCAAATTAGTTCATGCAAAATATTCTCCTTGTCTTCTTTTATTTTCTTTGTTTCAGATCAATCAAAAGACATGTTTTTTGAATTTGGGGTCAAGGAACAATATATGTTATTAATTAATATGTATCCAAATGTCCCCAATTCTCATTAATAAAGATGCATGAGGTCCATGAGTATCTCAGTCCACAGTTTACTGACATAACCCACCACATGATAAGGTTGATCGTCAACCCTGTATAAAGTGCTCAAAGTTCAAATAATTCTTAGGATCCCCAATGGTGTCCTATGTGTGCTCTCTTCCCAAGGTATCCAGACCAATCCCTAAGCCCATGCTGCTATTCTGTCCATACTTCCTGGCATAACATGTTGGGGTGCTGTCCTCTTTCACCATGCTGAGCCCAGCAGACCCTAAGGCCACTGCCATGCAGGTCCCAGGAATGGACTCCACTCCTGGGAACACCGTGCTGCCCTGCCAGTGTTGGCAGCCTTTGTGCTGAGCCACCTGAAGCTTCAGGAACTACCAAGTCCTTAGCCCAGTAATTTAGTATGGCAGCCTGTGGCAGGATGGGAAAGAACACTACTTTTCTCCTTAGTGTTACACCTTGGTAGAGAGGCCCCAGAGCAGTGCCAAACTAAGTTGCCATGTTTGCAGTAAAATAGATGGTTTTTTAGTGGAATAGAACAAAGAACCCAGAAGTAAAGCTGCACACCTAGAACCATCTGATTTTTGACAAATTCAACAAAAATAAGCAATGGGGGAAGGACTCCCCATTCAATAAGAGGTGCTAGGAAAACTGGCTATCTATATGCAGATAAAACTGGACAACTATCACCATATACAAAAATTACCTCAAGATGGATTAAAGGCTTTAATGTAAGACCTCAAACAATAAAAGTCCTCAAAGAAAGCCTAGGAAATACCCTTCTTGACATCAGCCTTGGCAAGAAATTTATGGCTAAGTCCTTAAAAGCAATTATGACAAAACCAAAAATTGACAAGTGGGACCTAATTGAACTAGAGAGCTTCTAGACAGCAAAAGAAACTATCAACAGAGTAAACCGACAACCTACAGAATGGGAGAAAATTTTTGCAAATGACGTACCCAACAAAGGCCTAATATCCAGAATCTATAAGAAATTTAAGCAATTTAACAAGCAAGAAACAAATAACACTATTAAAAAGTGCAAATCAAAAAGTTAAAAGATCTCAATTAACAACCTAATAATATAACTAAAAGAACTAAAGAACCAAGAAAAAAACAACTTCAAAGCTAGCAGAGACAAGAAATAACCAAAATCAGAGCTGAAATGAAGGAGATTAAGACATGAAAAAATTTTAAAAGATCAACAAATCCAGGAGCTAGCTAGACTGCTAGCTAGACTAATAAAGAAGATAACAGAGAAGATTCAAATAAACACAATCAGAAACGACAAGGGGATGTTGCTATTGATTACACAGAAACACAATCATCAAAAGATATTATGAACACCTCTATACACATAAACTAGAAAATCTAGAATAAATTAATAAATTCTTGTGCACATACATGTAGATTCACAGCTGAATTCTACAAGATGTACAAAGAAGAGCTGGTACCATTTCTGATGAAACTATTCCAAAAAATTAAGGGGGATGCACTCCTTCCTAACTAATTCTATAAGACCAGCATCATCCTGATACCAAAATCTGGCAGAGACACAACATAAAAAATAAATAAAGATTTTTTAAAAACCCAACTCCAGGCCAATATCCTTGAACACTGATGCAAAAATCCTCAACAAAATACTAGCAAAACAAATCCAGCAACTTATCCACCACAATCAAGTAGGCTTTATTCCTGGGATACAGGGTTGGTTGAACATATGCAAATCAATAAATGTGATTTATCATATAAACAGAACTAAAGATAAAAACCAACAGATGCAGAAAAGGCTTTTGATAAAATTCAACACCCTTCATGTTACAAACTCCCAATAATCTAGGTATTGAATAGGATACCTCAAAATAGTAAGACCCATCAATGGCAAACCCACAGAAAACATCATACTGAGTGGACAAAAGCTGGAAACATTACCATCGAAAACTGTACAAGACAAGGACATCCTCTTTCACCACTCCTATTCAACATAGTATTGGAAGTCCTGGCCAGAACAATCATGCAAGAAAAAGGAATAAAGCACATCCAAATAGAAAAAGAGAACATCAAACTATTTGCAGACGACATGCTCCTATATCTAGAAAACCCCATGGTCTCAGCCCAAAAGCTTTTTAAGCTGATAAACAACTTCAGCAAAGTCTCAGGATGCAAAAATCAATGTACAAAAATCACTAGTATATCTTCACACCACCAGTAGCCATGCTGAAAGCCAAATCAGGAATGCAATCCCATTTACAAGTGCCACACACACACAAATAAAATACCTAGGAACACAGTTAACCAGGGAGTTAATTGAAAGATGTCTATAAGGAGAACTACAAAACAGTCCTCAAAGAAGTCAGAGATGACACAAACAAATGGAAAAATATTCCATACTCATGTATAGGAAGAAACAGTATCATTAAAATGGCCATGCTGCCCAGAGCAATTTATAAATTCAATACTATTCTTATTAAACTACCAATGACATTCACCACAAAACTGAAAAAAAAATTTTTTTAATTCATATGGAACCAAAAAAGAGCCTGAATAGCCAAGGCAGTCCTAAGCAAATAGAACAAACCTGGAGGCATCACACTAACTTCAAACTGACATCAAACAGGAATGCAGTAAGCAAAACAGCATGGTACTAGTACAAAAACATACACATAGACCAATAGAACAGAATAGAGAACTCAGAAATAAGGCTATGCACCTGCAACTATCTGATCTCTGAAAAAGCTGACAAAAACAAGCAATGGGGAAAGGACTACCTATTCAATAAATGGTGCTGGGATAACTGGCTAGCCATATGCAGAAGATTAAAATTGGACCCCTTCCTTATACCACATAAAAAAAATAAGATGGATTAAAGACTTAAATGTAAAACCCCAAACTATAAAAACCCTGGAAGACAACCTAGGTAGTACCATTCTGGACACAGAAATGGGCAAAAATTTCACAAAGAAGATACCAAAAGCAATTGCAACAAAAGCAAAAATTGACAAATAGGATCTAATTAAACTAAAGAGCTTCTGCACAGCAAAAGAAACTATCAACAAGGTGAACAAACAATCTAGAGGATGGGAGGAGTTATTTGCAAACTATGCATCTGAAAAAGGTCTAATATCCAAGATCTATAAGAAACTTAAAGAAATTTATAAGAAAAAACAAAACCCATTACAAAGCGGGCAAAGGACATGAAAAGATGCATTTCAAAAGAAGATGTACATGCAGCCAACAATCATGAAAAAGCTCAACATTGCTGATCATAGAGAAATGCAAATCAAAACCACAATGAAATACCACTCACACCAGTATATTATTAAATTTAAAAATAACAGATGTTGGCAAGGTTGTGGGGAAAAAGGAATGCTTATACACTGTTGGTGGTGGCTGATCCTCAAAGACCTAAAAACAGAACTATCATTCAGCTCAGCAATTTTATTACTGAAATAGAAATTGTTCTATCATAGAGACACATGCACACATACTAGCAAAGACATGAAATCAACCTAAATGCCCATCAATCATAGACTGGCTAAAGAAAATGTGATACCTATACACCATGGAAAACTATGCAGCCATACAAAAGAACAAGATCATGTCCTTTGCAGGAACATGGATGGAGCCAGAGGCCATTATCCTTAGCAAGCTAATACAGGAACAGAGAACCAAATACCACATGTTGTCGCTTATAAGTGGGAGCTAAATTATGAACATAGAGGGAAACAAAAGATACTCGGGCATATTTGAAGATGAAGGGTGAGAGGAGAGAGAGGATCAGGAAAAATAACTAATGGATACTGGGCTTAATACCTGGGTGACAAAACCCCCATGACACAAGTTTACCTATAAAAAAAAAAAACTGTCCCTGTACCCCTGAACTTAAAGAAAAAAAAAAGTGGGTAAAGGACGTGAACAGATACTTGTCAAAAGAAGACATAAAAGCAGCCAACAATTATATGACAAAATGCTCCACATCAGTAATCATCAGAGAAATGCAAATCAAAATCACAGTGAGAGACCATCTCACACCAGTCAGAATGGCTACTATTAAAAATTCAAAAAACAACAGATGTTGGCAAGGCTGCAGAGAAAAGAGAATGTTTATATGCTATTTGTGGGACTGTACATTAGTTCAGCCATGGTGGAAAGCAGTTTGGAGATTTCTCAAAGAAGTTCAAATAGAACTACTATTTGACCCAGCAATTCCATTACTGGATATGTATACGCAAAGGAAAATAAATCGTTCTACCAAAAAGACACATGCGCTCATATCTTCATTGCAACGCTATTCACAATAGCAAAGACATGAAATTAAGCTAGGT